CTAATTTTATTTAAAAGGAGTCACATTTATTATATAATATTTTTTTATTAAGGGGCTACGCTCTCTCTTCCCCTATGTCAGATTTATTAGCCAATCAAAATTAATATAATATATATATATTATGTACTATGTCAGATCTCTCTGACCCCCCTCCCCCCTATTGATATTACGTAATATCTGCTACTCTTCTAATTGAATTTATATAGTTTAAAATACTTTTACTTTCTAACATAATAAAATTTTTTTAAATATAACTACTATTTATAATACTACAGAAGACTCTTTACAAATAAAGCTTCAAGTATTTTGTATATCTCTGAGTTTTATTCTACTTGAGTATACTTTATTTAGAGATAGTTCTCAAGCTAGAAAAATAGTAATTAGTAATAAATATATATATTAAGGCTTCTACTTGTTTGAGAAAAAAGCTTAAAAGTAATATATAGTACTTTATAATAATATATATTATCTTAAAATTGATTATAATATTTGAAGCTTTATTTAAATATGAAAAAATATTTAGTAAATAGTTTTATATTTTGGATCTTAAAATTAATAAATTTAAATAAGATTTTTTTGATTATTTAAGGATACAATAACAGATAAATAAAACTTATTTTATTTATTTTTTTAAACAATAAATAGGTTCGATCTTATTTATTCATAGTTTTATATAAGATAGTTTTCTTATGTACTGTATTATGAAAGATTATGATTCTATTATTTAACATATAATTAAAATTTTATTTATTATATTTTTATATAGCGATAAATATATATTATAATTTTTCTGTCTAAATTAAATCATGCTAATCGTTTTGGTTTATTTTTATATATATAATACATATATATATATTAAGTTGTTGTATATATATAAATTTAAAGTTTTATGAGTATAGCAACTTAGTGAAGTGGTAAAGTTATTGTATCTCCAAGTGGTTAAGTACAAGTTCAATTTCTATTGAAGATGAAAATTAAATTAGAAAAAACAGATTCGGCAACTATTGTCATAGTCAGAAAAACTTGAGACTCTATAACTGTAGTTATACCAATATATTGGAACTAAAAGATTCTAGGATTTTGTATAATAAAAAAGTTATACAAATATGCACAAGTATCACAAAAAGCCACAGAGCCGATACAGCGATAGGATACTTGCCTGACAAGACTTGAATAGAAAGATAAACAGATCTTTGACGGTACTACTATTACACTACGAGTTTATAATATTGTATAAATAGTTCGTAGAATAGTATTTCATATTATATATTTTATATATTTTATATTTTATATTTTGTATTAGTTAAATTATATTATTATTTAAATATATTTTATTAGAATAGAATAGTTAGAAGTATATACTACTATATACCGTATACCACTGTATATTGTATGCCAGTGTATGCCATATGCTAGTATATGCCACCCATCACATGGTTGTATGCTAGTGTATACCACCTGCTATATAGTTATATGCTAGCGTATGCCACTTGGTGTGTGTCAGTATATGCCACTTCAACAGATATATAAAGGAAGATTTTTCCCCTTAGTTTCTACAGATATCTCTTCTACAATTTCTACCTTCCCTTGGATATTGGATTGGCCATCTAATATCTGTGCCCTTCTCTTGTAACGTAAATTGTATTACTTGTACTCCTTGTATTACTTGTACTATCTGTATAACTTATTTGTATAACCTTATTATTAAAATAAACTATTCTATATCTGTCAATATTGGCTTATATTTTGAGTACTGCTATAACATTTTGGTGCCTTCTGGCAGAAATACAAAATTATTGACGGGTATTACAATACTAAGGAAACTCTTCTTATTAAAATCTTTAATTTAGAAACAGTAAACTAGTGTAATCTTTGGACGTAATATTCCTAGCTGTGTGTAATTTCTGGATATAATATTTCTAGCTATGTGTAATCTCTGGATATAATATTCCCAGCCGTGTGTAATTTCTGAACATAATATTCCTAGCCGTGTATAATCTCTGGACATAACATTCTTAGCCGTGTATATTCTGGATAGGATTTTGTTTTATATTGCTAACAAATTCAGAATAAAATAGTCAATTAGATTCCAGTCTTTGGTTCTGAAAAAAGAATCAGAATATAATATAGTATATGACTACTGTAACTGAGTTTCACAATGATCAAATAGCTTTACATGAACAAGCCTATTAACAAACTACTTCATTACCTTATCCAAATTTACAACTTAATTATTCAGATTTATCTTGCTCTATTTGTTTTCCTCTTGGATAATATAGTTCGAACGGACAGTTTGGTCAGTTTGTTAAGTGGTATCACACTATTGCCCTATTACAATTCTGTAGCTTATCTACCCGTAATCAACTACATACTTTAAAGTATACTACAAGATATACTATCGCTCGCCGAGCTGCTCGAGATATAATATTTAGCTATCGTTATTATAGTAAAATTCCTGATCCCAAATTTTTAATACTTTATTTATTACAAAGATATACCATCTTTACACATTATTCACCTTTAGAAATATATTTTGCTAACCCCTACGACTTATATATTGATACTGACTACCAAGTAGAGGATTTAATTAATCTACCTGAAGAGTTAAAACCACTTGAAACTTCGTATATTTCTAATAGTAGCCTTCAATTAACCCAATATTCTGACTCTACTAATATTACTTACTTAGAAGATGGCTCTTTTAGTGAAGGATCTATATCTTATCAATTACCTATTAGTACTTCTCCACCTGAATCTGTAATTTTAAATCCTAATTTTAGTATATCCTGTGAATCATTTGGTTTTGAAACAGATCAAATTCTTGATCAGATTGATATTGAAGCAAACCCTACTGTACCTATAAATCCTAAACCAATAGCTGAAGCTGATGCTTTATGGGATGCTGCTGCTGCTATGCAAGCTTTAGCTGCTATACTAGGATGAGAAGATGAAAAGACTTTAGTAACTTTGAAATACTTTGAAGAAGACAGGTTCCAAGATCCTGTTAAATGGATAGAAGAATTTGAATGTACAGCTATTGCTAATAGATGAAATACAAACAGACAATTGGTGCTTGCCCCTGCATATTTTAAAGATATTGCTCAAGAATGGTACCAATCTTTAAATGATACTCAAACTGCTACCTCTTTTAGAACCGATAATGCCCAAGCCTGTAGTTTTTACCATATGTTTAAAACATACTTCTCTACTTCTACTCAACAAGCTGCCTGGTAAAAACAACTCTTTGATATTTAGCAAGGACCAGATTCTGTTGATGCCTATATTAATTGGTTTAAAAAGCTTCATAATCGAATTGATCCTAATGAAGAATTCCTAGTGATGGTACCCGATTGAAAAAATACTATCCGGTTATCTGACGGGTATACCCGGCGGGTTACCCGGGTGATCAACATATTTATCCGGGTATAAAATCCTACCCGATATACCTGGGTAAGGTTAATACTTTTACTTTACTAGATAGCTGCACGATGTTACCAGAA